CTACATTTCATGTAAAAAATTTTTTTGTTTTAATACTTCTGGGTGTCAGGAACGGATTAATTGTATTTACAGTATTTCTTACGGGGAAAATTGATTCGAAAATCATCTATTTCGATAACAGTCCCACTTCCAGGAATGGATTATGGACGATAATTGAGGGACCACTGTAATAGTATAATAATATAATACAATAATAATAATAATAATAATAATAATATGTATAATAATAACACATATATGTACTACATATAACAATTATAATAGATGGCTTCAAAAGGCCGTCACTAGATGGCAGTGTTTACCACAACAAAGATGGAGCGGTTGTGGCCGCCTCCACCTGTTACATAATGACATTTTATTCATTCTTGAGTATATGTCATGTTTCTATGTTATTTTTATTGTTTGTTGTGTCATATTAGATGAACTGTGATATATAAATAAGCCATATAGATGATATTAGCAAAATTATTCATGAAGTATTTTGCCCGGTCTCCAGACAAACTCTCATCCACCGCCGACACCGCCCATACCACTACATGAATGACATATTTTATTCATTCTAGAGTATATATCATGTTTCTATGTTATTTATATTGTTTGTTATGTCATATTAGATGAACTGTGATAGATAAATAAGCCGTATAGATGATATTAGCTAAATTTTTCATGAAATATTTTGCCCGGTCTCCAGACAAACTCGTCCACCGCCAACGCCGACACCGCCCATACCACCACATGAATGATATATTTTATTCATTTTAGAGTATATATCAGGTTTGTATGTTATTTATATTGTTTATTATGTCATATTAGATGAAGTGAGATAGATAAATAAGCCGTAGAGTTGATATTAGGGAAATTATTGAAGTACCAAATTCCACTGGAATGGATTAATTGGATTTCAGTTAATTTAAATGAGGAAAATTGACCCTGCAAACGAGCAAATCCAGTTGCGAACAAGGTCATGGAACAGATTAAACTCGCAAGTAGAGGTTCCACTATATATATGAAACTCCTTGAAGCACAGTGTAAGATGAGTGTCACTCCACTGCTGACAGTGCAGCAGTGGAGTGACATTTGATGATCATGCACTGCCTTGACTTTATTTTTCACTATTACACATAAACATGTCTATCTGTTTGTTTCTGTCTGTTCGTCTGTTTCTATTTGTCTATCTGTCTGTCTAGCTCTGTCTATGTTTATCTCTGTCTCTGTTTATCTGTCTGTCTTTGTTTCTATCTTCCTGTCTCTGTCTCAGAGAGAGAGCCGCTCATGAACCAACAGGTATTACACACGATGCAGAGTCCTCACGTCTGATTCCTGAACAAGTGAAAATGTGCATTACTGGCCAGTCATGCTTATTATGCCTTATATCTACAAGCATAGTACTGTACAGCACTTTGTCTGGGTTTTTTAGGTTATCTTGGGTAATTTACACTATGTATAACTATTTATGTGTACCTGTGAGATAGAGACAGAGACAGATATAGATACAGACAGACAGAAGGAAATAGAGACAGCCAAAGCAAATCAGCCAGCCTACCAAACACATTTTACACATGTTCCAGAATTGTTTCTCTTTACTTAGGGCATATGTTATAGAACATTCTGGCAGGATGACATTACCAGTGGTATCAAAATTGAAAGCATGTCACACACTGGTTATTATCGATTTTTTTTTATATTTCCTCGGTATCTCCTGCGAGTGGCGGCAAGTCTGAAGCTCGCTCGTAACTCAGATTTTGGCTCACAACTCAAAGCAAAAATTTTACAGAGCGACGGCTCGTAATTCGGGAAAACTCGTCAGTTGGGGCACTCGTAAGTCAAGGTACCACTGTATATGATAGTGTAAACAAACTCAATCTCAACACAGACAAAACACACTTCATGCTGTGTGGTAACAGAGCCTTAAATATCCAACTTAATATATCGATAAATGGTTCCCTGATTTCAAGACACTGAGGGTAAATTTCTAGGTCTTCTCCTTGACTGTAATCTTAAATTTCATTCCCACATCCAACACATACGAGAAAATTTCCAAATACGACGACATCCTTTCCAAGATATGATACTATGTACCACAAACGACACTCCTTACCCTATATCACTCTTTAATATATCCTTACCTCACCTATGGTATTTGTGCCTGGAGATCAACCACATTGATCAGGCTCTGATCCACCAGGAGGCCTGGTCACAGACCAGGCCGCGGGGGCGTTGACCCCCGGAACTCTCTCCAGGTAAACTCCAGGTAAACATCTAACCACCATAAACCTTCAATTACCCAACAAAAAGCTGCTGTGGGGATGATTACCAGCTCCTGTGCTAGACAGCACACCCCACCACTTTTCAAAATCCTGAACTTGCTAAATATATGAAACATACAATCATATTATTGTGCCTACTAAATATATAGAACATTAAACTCCACTATAAACCCTCCACTTAAACTTCTCCTTGATAGTTACAACAGAATGCAGTCACAATACAAGGCATAAGGCACTCTTCAACATCCCTCATGTCCATCTCACACTATGCAAAAATGCAATGCACATAAAGGGTCCAAAGATCTAGAACTCACTACCAGAACTGGTAAAAGGATGCCCTGACTACTTATTAATTTAGGACTTTGCTAAAAAAAACATCTTATCGCTCAATACTAACCAAATCAACCAAAACAACTTCCAATTAGTTATATTATGTGACCTCTAGTCTTTTAAACACCTGCCAGTCCATGAAATATTACTGCTCGAACCATTAATTGTAATATTTCTTTTATGTGCAACTTCTGGATTATTATTCTTATAAACCTCCACCTTGACTACCTCGCATTAGTATTAAGATTAAATAAAATTGTAATACAGTTAATCACTATTATCTTGTCTAGTTTTAAGTAGTTATTATGTACTAGGATTAGTCTGCCCAAAATGCCCAGGCATGATAGTGGCTTTCTTTGTACTTAGCAAACCAAAACTGTAATTACATATTGTAACCTTTACTAAAAAATAAATCTTTATCTTTATCTTAATCATTCAGGCTTTTATATGCATTTGAAAGTGAAAAATAGGCTAGGTGGCACTTTACATCATTTTTCGCTTTAAAGCAGAAGCCAGGAACCTAACCTGCTGTGTAAGCAGGGCCTGCCTGTATTGCATTATATATACAGTAGTGTATTTTAAGAAATCTATAAGAAACTTATCTTAATATTACTCATGACTAGGATTACCTTAAGACATTTCAACACCCCCACAACTTGGTCCCAAGCTAGGCTGATAATATCTGTGTTCACTTGTGTGTTTAATGTACGACTTTAAACAAACCAAACAGAAAATAAAAAAAAATAAAGATCAAAATGTAAAAGTACAGTGGAACCTCAAATATCGAACTTTCTTCGGTCCAGAAGTCTGTTCGAGTGCCTTTACCGAATTAATTTACTCCCATCAGGAATAATGTAAATTAGATTGGTCCATTTCAGACCCTTAAAAATACACTTATAAAAGCACTTACAAAAATACACTTACATAATTGGTTGTGTTGGGAGCAGTTCGATTTTTGAGGTTCCACTGTACAGGTTAACAGAATAGGCATTACTATTATTTTCATGGGGAAGCACTAACACCATTGGGAGGTAATCAGGTTTTACCCAAGGAAAAAGGGAGCTAAAATTCCTTGAATCAAGAGCTCTTTGCCAGCATCACAGCACCCCTTTAAAGGGAGAGTGAAGAATCACAGGGTATGGAAATAAAAAATAAATCCAATGTCTCACCCCATACCAATTAATCCAGTTGCAGGATTTTATTTTCTTAATATTATATCATGAATGCACGTTATTTACACCTTACTTGATAAATGTTCTTTACTCTTGATTCTGATACATTTTTTTCTGTGTATTTAAGCAGAAACATATTCGTCATGTGAAAAAAATACTAGTAATCTCAAAGTTCTCAAGTCACCGATCATTCAGAAGCCTCCAATATTTTCCTAAGGGGAAATACTAACCTAATATAACCTACCATATCTTAATTTAAAATAAAACTGAATTAGAATTATGTTGCAGGATAACTTGCAATCTGGACCACTTACTGACATTGTGACTTGGAAATTTGGTGACTCAACCAGATGTACACCATACACCTTTTTAAAGTTAGCTGACTTCTCTGGCAACAGATACTAGAGTTACTAAAAACACAGCCTGTGCGGTTTTAAAATAACATGTGAAATTTTCAGGTTTATGGTGATTTGAGTTCTATTGAAAAATACTGAAGGAGTGCAGCACAATTTCAAAAACTGCACACAAAGCAAAAGCGTGATAAAAAATTTATTCAGATATAGGTACACATAAATAGTTACATAAATTATCACATATAGCAGCACAAGTGTAGATTATTTAGGATAACCCAAGAAAGTCAGAGACTTATTTCCACTGGGGTCTTTGTACTAACTTATTATTTAAACCTTAAAAGTTAAAACAGCTAAGATAATCACCACATATACATTACTGTAATATCACATGCCGGGGAATGCCACATCATAGCACATAGGAAAAATTACAAATACTTCTCCAAGACTGCTTCATGTGTGCCATGTGCTACATCAATTATTCTATTATTTATAGCAATTTTGAGGTGTGTTCCTGGCAACTCAGCATTCCTAGCAGCATACACCACCAACCATTCAGCTGCCAAGTGTGGAGCTTAAAGCTCTGTCACTGTATAATATACATGATGACTTAGACATGTGATAAAGAACCTTGAGAAAAAAAAGCTGTATTTTTCATGTGCTTTATAGACCTTTACGGTAACGAGTGACATGCTAAAACAACAACCGAAAACATGTCGTGGCATAACAGAAAATTATAAGATGCATTCCAACATTATATTCTGCTCAACACTTAATTAATACATTGCAGTAAATACGATGTTTTGGAATGAATAAGATTTGTTTTCCAATTTCACTATCAAATTTCAGACACTTATGGCAATGATACACATAACACGTACAGCTCTAGTCAGCCCTTGGACTTCTGTCATAATCTGCTCATACTCTAGTTTTCCTTCGGCTTCCCTTTGTTGCAGTAACGCTATCTTTTCCTGAAATTTTCTTGGGCTTGGCGTCGCCATTTTGCACTAGACGAAGAAATGTTTGTTGTGTTCCAATATTGTCCAAAAATCAACTTTTCCTAACATTTTTAACTCTTTTAAACGCAACTTTGTTTTATATTGCCAGAATATTTAGCACGCTTCCTTATATTACTATTGGTGATTAGCGTTCTTAATGATACACATGTAAAACCTGAAGAAGGGAAATATAGCAGGTCCTAAAAAGTGATACAATAACAAGCATTGCAATGCGTAATTTTCAATGTGTGAGACACACCTCATATCACAGTACAGTAATTTAATTCCTCGGCCTCCCGGTAACATAAGCTACCACTGCAGTGCTCAAGGCAATAGCCATATTTCTTTATGAATGAATTTGACTGCCTTTTGTGAGGACGTCAAGGTCATGTTTCCCGTTTTCTGTGAGAGATCAGCTGGTGGGAGGACACATGACGTGTATCCTGATACATGTTAGTCCAGACAACACCTTCCTGAGTTAACACCTGCACCACAGTGACACCTGCAGTGCTACCGTCGACACTCTGCCTCCTGCACCACCATGTTAAAACCCAGAACACTAACTCAGATCCTGAGTCAGGCCAACACTGGCGGGGTACAGTGTGCCTTGTAAGTTACACTGGTGGGGTACAGTGTGCCTTGTAAGTTACACTGGTGGGGTACAGTGTGCCTTGTAAGTTACACTGGTGGGGTACAGTGTGCCTTGTAAGTTACACTGGTGGGGTACAGTGTGCCTTGTAAGTTACACTGGTGGGGTACAGTGTGCCTTGTAAGTTACACTGGTGGGGTACAGTGTGCCTTGTAAGTTACACTGGTGGGGTACAGTGTGCCTTGTAAGTTACACTGGTGGGGTACAGTGTGCCTTGTAAGTTACACTGGTGGGGTACAGTGTGCCTTGTAAGTTACACTGGTGGGGTACAGTGTGCCTTGTAAGTTACACTGGCGGGGTACAGTGTGCCTTGTAAGTTACACTGGCGGGGTACAGTGTGCCTTGTAAGTTACACTGGTGGGGTACAGTGTGCCTTGTAAGTTACACTGGGGGGTACAGTGTGCCTTGTAAGTTACACTGGCGGGGTACAGAGTGGCTTGTAAGTTACACTGGCGGGGTACAGTGTGCCTTGTAAGTTACACTGGCGGGGTACAGTGTGCCTTGTAAGTTACACTGGCGGGGTACAGTGTGCCTTGTAAGTTACACTGGCGGGGTACAGTAGTGCCTTGTAAGTTACACTGGCGGGGTACAGTGTGCCTTGTAAGTTACACTGGCGGGGTACAGTGTGCCTTGTAAGTTACACTGGCGGGGTACAGTGTGCCTTGTAAGTTACACTGGCGGGGTACAGTGTGCCTTGTAAGTTACACTGGCGGGGTACAGTGTGCCTTGTAAGTTACACTGGCGGGGTACAGTGTGCCTTGTAAGTTACACTGGCGGGGTACAGAGTGCCTTGTAAGTTAAACTGGCGGGGTACAGAGTGCCTTGTAAGTTACACTGGCGGGGTACAGAGTGCCTTGTAAGTTACACTGGCGGGGTACAGAGTGCCTTGTAAGTTACACTGGCGGGGTACAGTGTGCCATGTAAGTTACACTGGCGGGGTACAGAGTGCCTTGCAAGTTACACTGGCGGGGTACAGAGTGCCTTGCAAGTTACACTGGGGTACAGGTGCCTTGCAGTTACAGGGGGTACAGGTGCCTTGCAAGATACACTGGCGGGGTACAGAGTGCCTTGCAAGTTACACTGGCGGGGTACAGAGTGCCTTGCAAGTTACACTGGTGGGGTACAGTGTGCCATGTAAGTTACACTGGCAGGGTACAGTGTGCCTTGCAAGTTACACTGGCGGGGTACAGAGTGCCTTGTAAGTTAATATTTATTGTGTTAGAGCTTCAAACACTGTCACTCTATGCTGCTCAAGAGCTCTTGATCTAAACAATTGGCACCACCTTTCCTTTCCTACAATCCTATCTCATTGTCTCTCATTTTACAGGCACAGTTTTGTAGTACCTACAAGGACCCAATAGAAATAGGTCACTGACTTTTTTGGGGGTTATCCTGGGTAATTTATGCATGTTAATAATAATAATGTTTATTTCTTTGTAAAGGTTATAATGTGTAATTACAATTGTACTTGTGTACCTGTACCTAAATAAACTTACTTAATGACCTCTATGGTTTTGCACTTCTGCATAAATGTAATAATGTGTATGTTAATTTATGGTACAGTACAGTGTGTTTTGAAAAGATGGACCCAATTTCAGAGATAGTTGATTTTCAAATTAGGTCCATCTCTTTGAAATACCCTGTATTTTGTAAACAGGGCCAATACCAAAATTTCTATATTGGGGGATTAGGGGAAAACTGGGAGAGATTCTGAAGCAGCAACATTATTAATACATTTTATTTTGGGGCTAAAGCCCTTCCCTAGACCCCCACCTTGGTACTTCCTCTGAAATAAATGTTTGTATTTGTAAATGTGATTTTTTTTCAAGTGAAGGTAACACTTAAAAGGAGGTTCCTTGAATGTGTTGAACAAATTTATTTTATTTTATCCTAGAGTACCTTGTTTGGACTGGCTTGTCCTCCCCTTCATTGGATCACTGAGTACCTCCCATTTTCCCAGTTGCTGTATTAACTCTATAGGATTAATGCTTCTCTTTGCTTTTAATAATTACGCCAAGGATTTGGAGCTACTGACCTGTCCTCAGACCAAACACTGAATCCCCATTTAAAAAAAAAAAAGTTTATTTAAAAAGCCCATAGTAAAATAAGATTTGTTTGGATTTTTAACCTGGAGGATTAGCCGCCCATGATAACCCAAGAAAGTCAGTGCACTATTGATGACTGCCTTATATCCACTGATCCTTTAATCTTGTCCTCCAGGATGCAAGCCACACCAGTTGACTAACACCCAGGTACCTAAATTCTGCTAGGAGAACAAGGACAGCAGGTGTTACAAAACATGCACAATGTTTCTACTTGTGTTGAGGATTGAACCACGGACACTCAGTACAGGTCCACATCCCTTTATCCGAAATTCTGAAATTTGAAAAGTTCCGAAAACCAGAGTTTTTTCATAGTGTGTGAAGCTTGTCATCTCTACATAACTCCAACGCCGCCACGTGGCGGCATGACCCAGCACTGACAGCCAGAGTCTCAGGCGTCAGTTGTGCCTCAGTGCTTGTAGTGTTTACACGTGCGTCTGCTGTTCGTTGATATTTTGTTTTTGTTCATTATTTTGTGACTGTTTAATTTCACTGTGAAAATGTCAAAAAGAGCTGCAGATACCCTTATTAGTAACAGTGAGGAAAAAGAAAAGGAAGCATCTAACGTTATCAATAATGCAGAAAGTAGAGTTACTGCAGAAGCTTGATCATGGTGTGCCAGTGCAGCATCTTACTGAAGAATATGGTGTTGGAACTAACACTGTTTATGGTTTAAAGAAACAGAAAGACAAGTTACTGAAGTATTATGGCAGTTTACTCAGTTAAAGAGAGATTGCTTAGACAGAAACCTATGATAATAAGACAGATGACACTTGAAGTCTTTAAAAACAGAGACAGAGATAGATACAGACAGACAAAAGGAGATAGAGACAGCCAAAGCAAATCAGCCAGCCAGCCGGCCTGCCGAACATGCATTACACGTTCCAAAATTGTTTCTCTTTACTTAGGTCATACGTTATAGAACATTCTGGCAGGATGACACTACCAGTGGTATCAAAATTGAAAGGATGTTACACATTGGTTATTATTGAGGTTTTTTTATATTTCCTCTCTCCTGTGAGTGGCGGCATATCTGAAGCTCACTCGTAACTCTGATTTTGGCCTGCAACTCAAAGCAGAACATCGACCGAGCGACGACTCATAACTCAGAAAACTCATACATTGGGGCACTCGTAAGTCAAGGTACCTCTCTATTTGTAGTCTTTATTTATCCAACTTAGTGTAAGTATTCATACATTTTTCCTGCAGTGTTAATGTTTGATTGTGGGGTGCTGCCCTAGACCCCACCTTCATTCTGAAATTCAGAACGCTACTGGCCCCAAGGGTTTTAGATAAGGGATGTGGATCTGTATGTGAACCAAGTGCACTACCAACCAAGCCATGGGACACCATATGCACAGCAACTGGGGCAAACTTTGACTATAACTAAAACTACAATACTTAAAAGATTATGTAGAAGATTGAATGGTAGTTTCAGAAATTACATTAAAAGATTAGCTTGAAGGTGTAAATATAACTGTATTAATGTAGCATTTGCAGCTTTAATGCTTTCCCATTAATGTAGTGATACAGGTCGGCCATCGATAATCCGGCAATCAGTTATCCGTTTCCATCAATAATCCAGCACTAATTTCGGCTAGCATAATTTCAAATTTCATCATTATACTGACTGAGAAATTGTGCAGATGGTTGTAAATCCACAGCAGCAAGCCAGTGGAGGAGAAAGTAGTGATGCAAATGAGGAAGATGTAGCAGAAAGAGTTTCTCTTGATAGGTTAATCAAGTGTATTCTAGCCTAACCACTCTGTAATCCAGCAAACTCACTAATCCGGCACACTACAGGTCCCAATGATGCCGGATTAGTGATGGCCGACCTGTAATAAAAATATAATAAAATTGTGAAAATTAATTGATGTAGTTGAGATCGAACATTGGAGAACCCTAATAAAAATTAGTCACACGTTGCAACCCACTATTGTAAATATAAAATCTCAATGTACTGTTTGCAAAGACATAAAATAAATAAATAAATATAACAGATCCATAGATCTCATTTCATCACTGCTAATACAATAGCTAGCAAACAAACAAAAACTTTTTCTTTCTTTCTGCAGTACGTATACAAAATGTAGTTTACACGTTATAAAATATTGTTAAGCACAAAAGAAAGCCACTAGCATGTGGAGCATTTTGGGCAGACTGAAAAGATGCTGCCAAGCTTTGTTTTTCCGTACTTTATGGATGTGGTTTCTTGTTTTGTAAAGAACACTAAAAAATTTACTTAGGTTGTATGTTTTCATAATTGTACGTAAATATTCTCTTTTCCGGCTCCAGAGTATTTGCCAACAAAGGTATTTTCAGTTTTTCAGTCTTCTTGGTTTATCTCTGTCCTTAGAACCATTATTAACATATCTTTGACTTTTTTCTCTTGTACACTATCTATTTAAAACATGAACATTACACTGAACCCTCTATTAACAGACTAATAAGGGGAAAGAGGATATACATTATTGCCAGTTGACCATAATTCCAAATTATAAAATTAAGTTTTTCATGATCATAACATTAATGTACAAAGATCTGAATCAGTGGATGAAGTATGCTGATTCAGAAAACTACCAGATGATTAGAATACAGGTATTGTAACCCATAGCACTATAGTACATTGCTGTGTAATAATTTTAGTTTGTACATAATTTATAGTAATTTTACTCATGGTGGAGAGAAGTGTAAATTGTCATGATTGATAATGGTGACTCAGAATAACTTTCATTCTGAGTCAGATCAGATGTAAAGCTCTTCTAGTAAAAATATAGATGCCTGAGAAGATGTAAATATCAGACACTGTTTCTTATCATATTTCTTGCATACCCATGCTACTGAGACTCCATATTCATCCTTTATTATTTAAAGTTTCTGCTTAACACTGACAACCATGTTTCCTCTTTGCCCCACTACTTGCTTCAGAAACCATTATTAATTTTACTGAATGCGTTAATAGTCGCACAAATCGCTGTAAATTCAGGGAAAATTGGAGACTGATAAGTGCATGAGTGAGCAAGCATATTGCAATACTGGCTAATACAGGACAGATGTTGGGATCATTGGATCATTGGACTTGGTCTGATCAGTTGGAAGACAACTGGACACTATTGCTATGGACATAATTTGGAATTGCATACTGTTTTCCATTTTGTGTGATGATTCCAAAGTTTATTATGAAAAATTTTTTTGTCTGCAATTTCTGAATAACATCTGTATAACTTGATACTTTTTCATCACATCACAAAATATTTGTTTGTGTTTCCTGTGTATTCTACCACAAAACACACTGGTTCACATGATTCAATTATTTTTCTTGCTTTAAACCTTTTCTTTAAATTTCCTTCAAAAAATGGGCAAGTTTGCTTTATGTTGGAATAATCCATTCATCAGTGTAACTGTTTCATATTCTGTTTGGAATTATTTTAGGTCTCCTCCTGCTACTGATACTTACAGGGTCTACTCCATTTCCTTCTCTTGTCATCTCCAATACAGTGGACCCCCGGTTAACGAACTTTTTTCATTCCAGTAGTATGTTCAGGTGCCAGTACTGACCGAATTTGTTCCCATAAGGAATATTGTGAAGTAGATTAGCCCATTTCAGACCCCGAAACATACACGTACAAACGCACTTACATAAATACACTTACATAATTGGTCGCATTTGGAGGTGATCGTTAAGCGGGGGTCCACTGTACTTTGGAGAAATTGGCTACACTCTTTCTGACAGACTTAAGAACACAAAAGTGTTAGCCTTGCCAACACTAACAATGCTCTTTTCTGTCCTGCTAGTCATCAAAGTCATCCTATTAACTGGTCTTCTGCCAAAACTGCCAACCCTTCTTCTAGCCATCTTAGACACTGTCTTGTTGAAGCATCCCTTATACCCAGCTTTTCTAATGTAAATCTTAGTAACTGGCTTTGTGTACACAACTTTCCTGAAATGAGTCTTAGTACTGGCTTTGCAGACACAACTTTCCTAATATGAATCTTGGTACTGGCTCTGTAGATGCCTTTATTTCTCATTACATTGTCAAATGCTCCAAACTTCAGAACGTTCATGACTTGGCCTGATCATTATCTCTTCTCTTTACCTCCTCTCCTGTCCTATATTTTCTTTGCCTTTCCTGTCTTCTGCATAGGTGGGTTCTGTCCTATAAGATTTTGTCCCACTGGGATTTGGTCCTACCCTCATGGGCCATTAGTGCACTTACAGTGCTCCTCTTTTACTACCACTGTCTCTTCACAAAGTCTCCACCCTCTGACCCTTTTTTCGCTACTACTAGTAGCTTCTTATTGCCTCCTCTATCACTGTTGCATTACTTTTTCTACTACTACCACCATCACCACTGCTACCACTGTAATACTATTCCCTGCTCTCATTACACTACTACTGTCCCCACCCTCTCTCATATATATATTCTGGCTCCCTTACTTTCGCGCTTGTGTGTGACTAATTAATGGTCCAAGTCGGACTGGAACAGTCATAAGTTTCATTCTCCCATGTGCAGGTTATCTGTGCATTTCAGGTCTGATAAAGGCAAACATTTCAGGTTGCTTAATCTAGAAGGAGCATTGCTGGCATTTAGTGGATATGGAGATCGTGATGCTCGTGTCACAGCTGCTATTGCAAGTAATATTTGGGCAGTTTATGAAAAGAATGGACGTAATGCCTTCTCAGAAGACAAACTGAATATGGTTCTAATGGAATGTGAGGTAAGTTTAGCTTATTATACATGTAAAATTCTATGACTTTCATTCTTTAACCCTTTGAGGGTTTCGGACGTACTAGTACGGCTTACGACCCAGGGTTTTTGACGTACTAGTACGCCTAAATTCTAGCGCCCTCAAATCTAGTGGGAGAAAGCTGGTAGGCCTTCATATGAAAGAATGGGTCTATGTGGTCAGTGTGCACAGTCTAAAAAAAATCCTGCAGCACACAGTGCATAATGAGAAAAAAAAAACTTTGACAATTTTTTTGGAATAAAACAGCGACTTTGCACTGTATTTTCATATGGTATTTATTGTTGTATTCTAGTTTTCTTGGTCTCATTTTATAGAATGGAAGACATATTACAGAAATTGAGATGATTTTGACTGGTTTTACAATGAAAGGTGCCTTGAAATTGAGCTCAAAGTAGCAGAAATGTTCGATTTTTACCAAATTTCAAAAGTAAACAAATCTTGCCAAGCGTGCAATACATGTCAACTGGTGAGTCTAATATTCTTTTACAAGTGCACCAATAATATTTATACCATTTTTTACACTAATGCAGTAGTCTGCATAACAGTAAATCTTATATTTTTTGTGAGAATAAAAATTCAAAGTGGATAGCAAAAGAATATAAGAGGGGCCTTGAGACGTGACTAATGACCAGAGGAAATGTCATTTTAGTGCCAGGAATGTCTTTCTTATTTATTCTGGACCCTATTCGGAAATTGGCATCTTTTGAAATTTGTGTGAAATTGGCAAAATTGCTAAATTCTGACCACTGTACTGGATAGTTGTATTTCATAAATGGGTGGTTTCTTGCACCCATTCGATAGAAAAAATGGAGTTCTAGCGAAATATTCATGTTTTTTGTCGACTAGTACTGTGGAATTGGCCGAAAATGGGGCTCAAAGTGGGCAAAATCGCCGATGCGTAAAAATCGCCGAGACCGCTAACTTTGCGAGAGCATAATTCCGTAAGTTTTCCATCAAATTTCAAACTTTTGGTGTCCTTATGATCGGGAAAAGATTCTCTATCTTCTCATAAGAGAAAATAAATTTTTTTTTTTTTTTTTTAAATTTGGCCGACCCTGAGAACGAGTTTCGGAGAGGGCCTGTCGACCCTCAAAGGGTTAAAATGTAATGGAACCTGGTACTATAGTTATGAAATTGTTATGCTATAGTTTTATATCAGATTGTCATTGCCAGTATTTTACATTTTGAGTAAAAGTGTACTGGATGGGTTTAAACATGGGAAAATTTTGTTGTATGCTATTCATTACTACGTATTTGAATTTTAAATTCTGTACTGTCTTAAGATAATTACAAAGAAATTTATTATATTTGGAAAAAATTATCTAATATATAATTAAACCAAAATTATTGTATCCTGTACTACATTGTACAGTGTATATATTAGATAATGTACATATAAAGTTTGATTATGCAAGAATCAGGTGAAGATTTGTAGGGATCTCTATATTACATATTTACCTATTTGCAGCTACAAGAGCAGAGCTATACTTGTGGTGTCTCATCTTCATTTGTATGTTTATCATAGCATTTTTTAGTTTCCAGTGTATTTAACACTTCCTCTTCCAGTTTATTCCATTCTTCCACTACTCTTTTTGGTTAAGACAAATTTCCCAGAATGTCTTCAGCTCTATTTTTAATTTACATCTTTGGCCTTTTGTTAACCTGTTATAAGGCACTAGAAAGCTCTTCTTGATATATATTTCTATGTACTTATATAACCTTGATTAAGCAACCTGAAATTTTTCATAGACTTAAGAAACATTTTTGATACAGTTTATCATGACCTTTTGCACCTAAAACTCAAAACATTGCGGGGTCAGAGGACACTCTCTTGATTACCTAAAATCTTGTCTTAGCAATAGAATCCAGTATGTGGAAAAAGACACTTACATACAGTTCAGGAGTGGCTTCTTCGGTCCAAATACAGAGAAAACTAAGAAAACACATATATACTGTGTATAGTGGCAGGAGACAGGTGAAGTGTCACGTGGGTAGAGGTGGTAGTAGTAGTAGTAGTGGAACTAAGGTGGTGAGACGGATGACTACAGAGGGACCTGTTGACATCATGTAACAGCAGTTTCCAGAATGGGTAATATCCTGTTGATTAGGAATTTTGAGATTCTGTAACTACCGGACTTTTGCTTTATAGTGTTACTGACAGCAATTAGGGCAACTCCTATGCATTTTCTCCATCTTAAATCGTCTTCTTTAATCACTAGTTTAGCCTCACTGAATTTCATGAGGTGTCCAACTTCGTCCCTATGTTGAATACACTCGTTTTTACGGTCATCATTTCTGCAAGTATTTTTGTGTTTGGTGATTGTAATGTCCAGAGATCTGGCTATTTCCCTCACATATACTTTGTCACACCCCCCACATGGTATAGTGTAAATTCCTGCACTTATTTATTTATTTATTTATTTATTTATTTATTAATTTGAACATGATACAGAGTAGTACAAATGAATACAGTTAAGTGCAACATGCCAAAGCCCCTTGCATGCAGAGCATTATGGGCAGGCTTAAAATTAACTTAAGATTAACTAAGCAGTGATATATTCAGTGGTAAAACATTATTGTAAACAGATAACAATTAACCCCTTCAGGGTCCAAGGCCAAAATCTGAAGTGGTGCTCCAGTGTCCAAGAAATTTTGAAAAAAAAAAAATAATTTTTTCTTTATAGAATTAAAGAGTATATTTTTGTGAAGGTAATAAGACAAAAAAAAATTCTGATCAGTACTTACCGAGATACAGTGCCGAGAAGTTGACCCCAAATGACGTGGTGGTGGCAACAGCGACGATTTCCGCATACGCACATTCCTTTATTTACCGTTTTTTGTAGTTTTTTCTTTTCTTTTCTAATTTTTTTCTTTTCCTACTAACATTTGGGACCTGAGAGACCAATACTGTATATAATGTATATATATAAACTCACTGTATTGAACACAATAACTGCACTTAAGTTATTATCATATTATTGTTTACCACTGTTGTTTATTACAATAAACATGCACAAATCTTGTATAATACTGTTCTATCATATATTTACATATTTACAATCACTGGACATGGTTTTAGAACTGCTGGAGCTTGTGGAACTCCTTGAAACAAGGCACCATGCACAGAGGTACCTTACATTCCTCACACATAAACCGAGTGTCTTTGTGTCTTTGTTGCCATCGTTTTGTTTGTGCACAGATGATGCATCTCTTCTGAGCAAATTTCTTCTTGAGTTGAAGGAAGTTGTATTATGAAATGATCACCTTCCCTCCTCAAACGCTTGGGTATATCCTGAGGAGTTCGAGGACCTTGTTGTATAGCAGGTGTTGTTACCTGGTACTTCATTATGAGTTGTCTGACAACAGACAAACAAAATTCACCATACGGTGGTCTGTTGCCAGTCTTCATTTGGTACATGTTATATGCATTGAGCATTGAAATGTCCACGAGATGGAAGAAAAGTTTCATGTATCACTTGTAACTTTTACGAACACAATCAAAGCCAATCTGCATGTCACATTTGTCAACCAAGCACATGTTTTGTGTATAATCAGTCACTGTCACTGGTTTTCGAATACGTTCATTAGTCACTCGATCAACTTTGCCACTGTCTTGCATTTTGTTACGGTGAATGGTTGTCAACAAAATGACATCTCGTTTGTCATGCCACCATAATGCCATGATGTCATTGGCAGTAAACACCTGCACGTCATCACCACGAGCACCTGCGTTGAGCCTGGGCATATGTTTACGATTAGAACGCACTGTGCCACACACATCTGTCTTGTTCACTCGCAAGAAATCACTGAGTAATGGGCTTGTCTACCAGTTATCGGTATATAATGTATGCCCCTTACCAAGATAAGGTGCCATCATGCTTCTCACTACATCACCTGAGATACCCAGTAACATCTTGGCATCCTTCAATGTTTTACTTCCCGTGTATACAACAATATCCAATACCAGGCCACTGTCACAGTCACAGAGTAGAAACAGTTTTATACCAAAGCGTTTCCTCTTGCTTGGTATATACTGCTTGAATGACAGCCTACCTTTGAACAAAATCAAAGACTCGTCAATTACAAGATTCTTGAATGGATAAAAGTACATGCTGAACTTTTGTTTGAGATACATAAAAACATTTCTAATCTTGTATAACCTGTCACTTCTGTCAGGCCTGGTTTTGTCAGAGAAGTGCAACATACGTAACAGTAAGATAAACCTGTTCACTGGGATGATTTCACTGAAGACCGGGGTAGAAATTAGCTGATCTGTGGACCAGTATGCTTTTATATTATGCTTATAGACATGAGGCATAAGCATTATTGTTGCAAAAAGCAAATACATTTCTGCAACAGTCGTCTCTTATCATTAGTGTAGTCTTGACTGTGGGGTTATCATCGTATTTGCCATGGTGTACTCAAAATACTTGTTACTTTCCCTGACAATAATTTCCATCAAGGGCTGGTCAAAGAATACTTCAAAAAATTCCAGTTCATTGGCTGTGTTTCCAAGGGAACAAGTAGGTAGAATTCCACTTTGAGAGTCATCAAAGTGGTGGGGCTTGGGAACAAAATTGGGATTTTGCTGCCAATCCCAGATACAGTTTGCTGGTGGATACTGGACATCATAGGCTGGTTGTGCGGGTAGTTGTGGTTGTGGTGGGCTGGTGGCTGACGCTCCGCTTTGTCCTTGAACTGCGGAGTCAGCAGCCTGGGCTGGTGAGTCACGCATGGCCGTGGCACTACCATCACCACTACCACCATCTACTGATGCCTGTGGCCTATCCATGCCAAGTGTAGCCACATCATCCTCACTTTCACTGTCTATTCCTGGTGTAGGGACACAGGATGTACTCCGTCCCCTGGGCACTGCATAGGGTACACTACCCGAGCGCATGCGGCGGCGTACATACCAATGCTTCACTGGTGAATATGATTCCTCACTATCACTACTTGAATGATCGTCA